TTTATTTATTTTTGTTGCTGTGTGATTGCTTTGGGATTCGTCTTCATAAATTCTTTGCATAGGCCAATGTCTATAAGAGTTTTCCCAACATTTTCTTCTAGAATTCTTAAGGTTTCACACCTTAGGTTTAAGTCTGTTATACATCGTGAGTTGCTTTTTGTGAGAGGTGAGAGGTGGGGATCCAGTTTCAATTTTCTGTATGTGGTTATCCAGTTTTCCCAGCATCATTTCTCAAATAGAGATTCTTTTCCTCAATGTATATTTTTTTCTCCTTTGTCAAAGATCAGATGACAATATGAGGATGGTTTTATATCTGGGTTCTCAGTCCTGTTCCAAAGGTCTATAGCCCTGTTCTTGTGCCAGTAACATACTGTTTGGGTTACTATAGTCTTGTAGTAAAGTTTGAAGTCTGGTAGACTGATGTATCTTGGCATTTTTTTAAAGATGATCAACTAATATGGGCTTCCTTTAGAATGGAGATATACATGGATCAGCAGGAAATAGTTTTATTTTCTTTATTTTTTGAATATTTAATCAGTTAGCCAAATGCACAAACAGAAAAGCTAATTAATTTCTGATATAATGAGTAAAAGAAAGGTATTGTGAGCCCTAAAATTTCCTCCACGGAGGCTTCAAATGAAAATATCAGAATCACCAACACTTTGCCCAAAACCCTCTTTTTCGGTATGGAGATGCCCTGGGGAAGGATAACATAAAGATTTACCAGCACCTTGGTACCACAGGGATCTGTAACTCACTCAACTCTTTTCTTAGATAGCCTGTGACTTATGACTGGGCAATGTGCCAAGGCAAGGGAGAGGAGAAGGTAGAAAGGGCAGGAGGCCCTAAAAATGGAAGTTGAGTACACTAGAGAGATACTTAACCTGTTTTATCATCTTACCAAGGCTGAGCTCAATACTTAGGGAATTACTATTATAGAATGCCCACATTTTAGTGGTGCCATAGTCTAAGTTTTTTCTAAAATTATTTGTGTGAATGGCTGATAATGGATAAGAGTAGAATAACTTTCGTTTTCACTATTTTATTTTTTTGGTGCTAAGTATATGCTGACCTGGCAGATCTAAACTGAAACTCACACGTAATCTCCTTAAACTAATTTTACAACATGAGTACATAAGAAACATGTCTATCTACAAAATATAGGTTTTGAATTAGTAATACAGATACAAGCATAGGAGAAACCTATACATAGAAAAAATACTGTAATAAAATTTAAAAGAAATAGTTAGACAAAAGAAAAAAAATTAAGAATTTTATCACTCA